ATTCACAGCAAAATTGACATATCTCCTTTACCCATACATGCACAGCCTCCCCCTATCATCAGCATTCTGCATCAGAGTGATACGTTTGTTACAGTCAATGAACTTTCATAGACATATGATTGTTGCCCAAAGTCCAGAGGTTACATTGGGTTCATTCTTGATTTTATACATTCTGTGGGTTTTTTTAACACATGCATCCACTGTTATGATATCCTACAGAATTGTTTTTACTTCCCTAAAAATCCTCTCTGCCTGTTCATCCCTCCCTCCCACTAAGCCCTTGTAACCACTGATCTTACTATCTCCATAGCTATGACTTCTCAAGAATGTCACATAGTTAGAATCATATAGTATATAGCCTTCTCAGATTGTCTTCTTTCACGTAGTGATATGCATTTAAGTTTCCTCCAAGTCTTTTCATGGCTTGATAGCTCATTTCTTTTTAGCACTGAGTAATATTTCATTATCTTGATATACCACAGTTTATCCTTTCTTGTACTGAAGGTCTTCTTGATTGCTTCCAAGTTTTGGAAATTATGAATAAAGCTGCTATAAACATCCATGTGCAGGTTTTTGTGTGGACATACTTTTCAACTCATGACTAAATACCAAGAAGCATGATTGATGGATAGTATGGTAAAAGTATGTTTAGTTTTGTAAGAAACTGCCAAACTATCTTTCAGAGTGGCTGTACCATTTTGGTACATTTGGTGAATGTATTATTTGCCAGCAATTAATGGGATGCTCCATATCCTCATTAGCATTTGATGTCAGTATTTTGGATATTGGCCATTCTAATAGGTGTATAGTAGTGTCTCATTGTTTTAATTTGCAATTCCTTAATGACATATGATGTTGAGCATCTTTTTATATGCTTATTTGACATCTTTAGGTCTTTGGTGAAGTGTTTGTTCAGGTCTTCTGCCTATATTTTAATCAGGTTTTTTGTTTTGTTTAATTTTACGTTCAGATTATAGTTCTTTATCAGATCAGTCTTTTGCAAATATTTTCTCTCCCTCTGCAGTTTGTCTTCTCATTCTTTTGACACTGCCTTTCTCAGAGCAGAAGTTCTTAATTTTCATGAAGTACAGCTTATCAATTATTTCTTTCATGGATTGTACCTTTGGTGGTGTTGCATCTTAAAAAATCATCACCATACTCAAAGTCATCTAGATTTTCTCCTATATTTTATAGAATTTTTATGGTTTTTGCATTTCACATTTAGGTCTGTGACTTATTTTGAGTTAATTTTTGAGAAAAGTATAGGGTCTTTATCTAGATTTATTTTTTGCATATGAATGTCCAGTTGTTCCTATACTATTTGTTGAGAAGACTGTTGCTCCTTTGTTAAAGATCAGTTGACTACATTTATGTGGGCCAATTTCTGTACACTCTATTCTGTTTCTTTGGTCTGTTTGTCTCTTCTTTCACCAGTACCACACTATCTTGATTACTGTACCTTTATAGTAAGTCTTAAAGTCAAGTACTATCGGTCCTCTGACTTAGTTCTTTTCTCTCAATATTGTGTTAGTGTTCTTTTCCCTCAGTAGTGTGTTGGTGGTTCTGGGTCATTTGCCTCTCCTTATAAACTTCAAAATCATTTTGTTGATATCCACAAAGTTGCTGGGATTTTGATTGACATTATGTTGAATCCCTAGATCAAGTTGGGAAGCACTGACATATTGATAGTATTGAGTCTTCCTATCCTTCAACATGAAGTATCTCTCAATTTATTTAGTTTTTCTTTGATTTCCTTCATCAGAGTTTTGTAGCCTTCCTCATACAGATCTTGTACCTATTTTTTTAGATTTATACCTAAGTATTTCATTTTGGGGGGTTGTTAATGTAAATGGCAATGACTTTTTGATTTCAAATTTGACTTGTTCATTGCTGGTATATAGGAAAGTGATTGACTTCTATATATTAACTTTGTATCCTTTAACTTTGCTGTAATTGCTTACTAGTCCCCAAAGTTTTTTGGCCAGTTCTTTTGGATTTTCTATATAAACAAACATGTCATTTGAGAACAAAGGCAGTTTTATTTCATCCTTCCCAATCTGTGTACATTTTATTTCCTTTTCTTGTCTTATTGCATTAGTGAGGGCTTCCAGTATGATGTTGAAAAACTGTGTGATAGGAGACATCTTTGCCTTATTACTGATCTTAGGAAGCCTTCAAGTTTCTCACCATTAAGTATGATATTAGCTATAGCTTTTCTGTAGATGTTCTTTATCAAGTTAAAGAAGTTTCTCTATTTCTAGTTTGCTTAGAGTCTCACTTAGTTCTTTCAACTTTTCGTTTAGAATAATTTTATAGATACTGATATAGTTAAATCTTTTAGGTTGCTGATAAAGAAATTTATGTTTCAGTTTAAATCGGAATTAGATCTGCTAGGAAAACAACTTAAAATGTGATGTTGCTTATATGTTCCGAATCGGGTCCTCCCCAAATTAATATGTTGAATCCCTAACCCCCAACATGATGGTGTTTCAAGATGGGGCCTTTGGGGAGGTAATTAGTTTAGATGAGGTAATGAGGGTGAGGTACTCATGATGGGATTAGTGCCCTTATAAGAAGAGAAAAGAGATCCCTTTCTCTACCTCTTTCTCTGTCCTTGAGCACACACCAACTAAAGGCCATGTGAGCACACAGTGATAAGGTGGCTCTCTACAAGTGGACCTTCACCAGACACCAGATCTGCTGGCACCTTGATCTTGGACAGGCTCCAGAACTGTGAGAAATAAATTTCTGTTGTTTAAGCCATTCAGTCTGTGTTATTTAGTTACAGCAGCCTGAACCAACTAAGACAGAAGTTAGTACCAAGAAGTGGGGTGCTGCTATAACAAATACCTTGAAAATGTAGAAGTGGCTTGGGAACTAAGTAGAAGGTAGGGGCTGGAAGAGTTCTTAAGGGACTGTTAAAGGTGATTATGGTGGAGGACTCAGAAAGAAAAGAAGAGAGTTTTAGAGAACGCTTCCATTTTCTTAGAGAATACATAAAAAATCATATGCAGAATGTTGATAGAAATATGGATATTAAGGGTGATTCTGATCAGGTCTTAGGCAGAAAGGAGGAACATATTATTGGAAAACAGAGAAAAGGATGTCCTTGTTACAAGGTGGCAAAGAACTTGGCTGAATTGTGTTCATGTTTTGGTGTTTTGCAGAAGGCAGAACTTTCAAGTGATAAAATTGGATACTTAGCTGAGGCGATTTCTGAGCAGAGTGTTGTAGGAGTGGCCTGGTTCATCCTGACTGTTCATAGTAAAATGTGAGAAGAGAGAAATGAATTGAGAAGAAATTGTTTAAGCAAAACAGAACTAGAACTAATTCTCATCTTATCCATATTGCAAAAAATGAGAAAGCATGTTCAGAAGAGAACTTGAGGATTTTGCTGATTGACCATTTGATAATGAGATTATAGTGGGTGTGAGCCATTGCCCTGATCAGCCACTCTAGCAGGAACACTGCCAGTTTGAACTGAAGGGGACAGAGGTGGGTTGGATTGAAGGAAGGCTGTCAGACTTCTTAGATTCTGTAGGACAGGACAATAAATTTATTTGGCTGCAACTTGCGCTGTTCTTCAGGAAAAGAGAAGAATGGCCTTGAGATCCATCATTAGGACCACTTCCTTGGTTTCATCAGGGTAGATGTCTTCTGACTGAAGCCATGGGGGTGCAATCTCTGCTCCCCCCAGAGGGCAGTGGAGTGACACCCCTCTAAGCCATCGTGTTGGCATTGCCGCCCATTGGGCCAGGAGGCAGAGCATCAAACCAAAGAGGATCCTACTCCAGCCTTAGGTCTAATGGAAATTGCTATGCTAGGTTTTGGACTTACTTGACCTATCACCTGTTACTTGTTTTCTATTTCTCTTTTTTGGAATGGTGGTGTCTATCCTATGCCTGTTCCACCATTGTATTTTGGAAGCACATAACTTGTCTGGATTCACAGATTTAAAGTTGAGAAGAATTTTGCATCAGAATTTTGCCTTGAGTCTCACTCATTTGATTTAGATGAGACTGAACTTTAGACTTTAAAGTTGACACTGGAATGAGTTAAGACTTTTGGAGCTATTGGGGTGGGATGTATATATTTTGCATGTGAGAAGGACATGAATTTTGGGGGGCCAGGGATGGAATGCTAATGGACTGAATTGTGTCCTCTCCCCACCCACCCCCACCCATTCATTTGTTGAAGCCAATGTGATGGTGTTTGGAGATGGGGCCTTTTGGGAAGTAATTAGGTTTAGATGAGTTCATGAAGGTGTGGTCTTCATGATGGGACTAGTACACTTATAATAAGAGGAAGAGAAGTGAATCTTTTTCTGTGAGCACTCATGGAGAAAAGGCCATATGTGTAACACAGCAAGAAGGCTGCTGTCTACTAGCCAGGAAGTAGGCTCTCACTCCACATAGTCTGCTGCACCTTGACCTTGGACTTCCTAGCCTCCTGAGCTGTGAAATTATAATAAATTTCTGTTATTTAAGCCACTCAGTTTATGGTATTTTGTTATAGCAGCCTGAACAGACTAAGATAGTTGCCTGTCCTTGTATTTCTATAATTTTTAAAATTGTCATATTCAGGGCCGGCCCGGTGGTGCACTCGGTAGAGTGCGGTGCTTGGGAGTGCGGCAGCGCTCCTGCCAAGGGTTCGGATCCCATATAGAGACCGGTCCGCTCACTGGTTGAGCGCGGTGCAGGCGCGACACCGAGGATTGCGATCCCATTGCTGGTTGCGGTACAGGCGCAACACCGAGGGTTGCGATCCCGTTACCGGTCACGAAAAAAGACAAAAAGGAAAAAAAAATTGTCATATTCAAGCCTGTTTCTAGTGTTTGTGTTTTGATTTATAGACTCAAAGCCAGGAAGGGCGGTGAGACTTAAGTATCTGAAAATTTTATTTTTCATGTAGTGCTTGGTTTGGGTTAAAGGACAAACACATAAAGAATCTGGAGTTTCTGATAATAATTTTATTAATTTTTTTTTCTGGTTTGTTCACAGATGTTCAGCCTGTTGCCTATGAAGAGCCCAAACATTGGTGTTCAATTGTCTACTATGAATTAAATAATCGTGTCGGGGAAGCTTTTCATGCATCTTCTACTAGTGTGTTAGTAGATGGATTCACAGATCCTTCAAATAATAAAAGTAGATTCTGTTTGGGGCTGTTGTCAAATGTTAATCGTAATTCGACGATCGAAAACACTAGACGACATATTGGAAAAGGTAATCTTATTTCCTTACATTCAACTGAATTCAGTCATTTGCTGTACTTGCTATGTACCATGAATTGTGTATGGTGCTGGAAGCATAAGAGGAAGCTTAAGGCATGTCCTCTGCCTCAACTTGCAGATACTGAAAAATGTATTAATGAAATAAAGATGTAATTAGTCCCCTTTTTCTTATCCTGCTTAGTTTTTCTTCCTAGTACTAGGAACTGAAATCATATTATTCTTTGTTTTTTGAGTGTTACTTTGACTGGAATGTAAGCTGTACAGGAATTTGCCTTGTTCACAACAATATCTTCAGTATTGAGGAGTAGTTAGAACAATGCCTGGCTCACAGTAAATACACAAAAAATATTTGTGGAATATATGAATGCTGATGAAGGATTAGAATTTTATAATTATGGTACTTGCAGAATATTTTGTATTGAGATGATTTGTAAGAATTAACATAACGTTGGAAGAGCAGAGTTAGTGTTGGGGAAGTCCCGTGTGAATGACATAAGTTTTCAGTGGCTTCACTATCACCCCTGCCTTTTTTTAAATTCAGGTAACAAAGTTTTATTTATAATTCACCCTGCAAGATGTTGCCACACAAACAAGCTAAGGCACTTTTCACAGTGCAATGAAATGTCATAGTCTCATGTACCAAGTGGTCAGGTAGTAAACCCATCCCAAGTAGAGTGTATTGCCTGTTTCTTGATAAGTTTTGTTTTTACTCCTTGCTGCTTTTTGCTTGTTTGACTTGAGAAAGTCTTAGTCCTGAATAAGAACAAAAGGTAAATAAATCTATTTGCAATGGGATTTCTTATAGAAGAGATTCAGAAATATACTGTGGCCAAAAATAAGTTGAAAACCAAGTTCCCATTCTCTTGAAGTTACTGCCAACTTGCCATGATTTTTTAGGTGAAATGTCAAACATCTATCTGTGCATTGATTTTTTCCCCCCCTTCCACTATAATAGAAATCATTTAAGGGAAATATCTATTTGGTGAACTCTGAAATTCTAGAATCAGTTTTCCCTTTTTTCCCAGTATACAGTTTTTGGACCCTTTCTTTCATGAGTCATTTTTATTTGTTCAGAAATAAAACAGTTTTAAGTATCACGGCCTGATACAAGTATGTGACTCTCTTGTGTGCAGAGATATTACAGGGATGGTGCTAAAAAGCACAGTTTGCAGCAGTGAAAAATTGTTCATTGGTAGATAGTTAAATAAATGATGCATATTCTAGAATTATATGTAGCATTTAGAATATATATACAGTGGCAGATTTATATCTTAGAGCATAGTAAAATCTTCAAGGTTTGTTAAGTTACAAGAGCAAGTTTCTAATTAATAGAGTGTGATACCATTTATATTTAAAAACAAAACCAAACACACAAAACCACACAAAAATATTCTGTAGGAACATATATATTTAATTAAATGCATGTTAAAAGGTTTGAAAGGACATACTCCAAACTAATAGTTTCTACCTCCGAGGAAGAAAAATGAATTTCAGGTGGTGGATGGATATGTTAGGAGAAGAACACTAGGTGACTTCAGCTTTAGTTATGTAATTTGAATTTTAATATTGAAGCTGTTTTTACCTATTATTTATATATATTTTCAATATCAACAGAATTTTTTTAAAGGAAAGTAAAACCTGCCATTTGAAAGCTCTTTTTGTGACCTGAAATTACATATGTAACTCAGTCTTTTATTTTTTAATGCTGCTGTTCTCTTCATTAGCAAAAAGAGTGCCAAGCTCTGCCAAGTGACTGTGATAGTTGATAGCACCAAGAATTCCTTTGAAAAGACTCATCAAAAGTCAACTTTGGGGTTTTGTTTTGTTTGTTTTTTTGCCATTCCTTTCTCTCTCAGAGATGATAGATTATTGTTGAAAAAGGAAAAAAAAAAAAAAAAACCCCTAAGAATGGAAAACTAATATGCTGCCAACTTGAGGCTTAACTTTAGTTATTTGAGAACCAGTTTAGATGTAGGTAGACGCTAACCTCTTGATTATCTTTGGCAGCAGACAGCCATCTAGTGGTAGCTTGCATCTAAAGACTGTTTGCTAGGGATTAGTGGGTATTTCGGTTGCACCATACAACCTCTTGGGTTTCATTATAATGCTTTTGTTAAGCTGACTCTCATGGTGCCTGTGTTTTTAAGGTGTTCATCTGTACTATGTTGGCGGGGAGGTGTATGCAGAGTGCCTCAGTGACAGCAGCATATTTGTACAGAGTAGGAACTGCAACTTTCATCATGGCTTTCATCCCACCACTGTCTGTAAGATTCCCAGCAGCTGCAGCCTCAAAATTTTTAACAATCAGGAGTTTGCTCAGCTTCTGGCTCAATCTGTCAACCATGGGTTTGAGGCAGTGTATGAGCTCACCAAAATGTGCACCATTCGAATGAGTTTTGTCAAGGTGAGTGGGTTATTACCTGTAATGTAATTTGAGTCACTGTTATGTCTGTAGGTTATAATAAAAAAAATTTGTTAAATGAGAGGTGATAATTACTTTTAACTTAATATATAGTAGGTCAAGACTGAAATTCTTGGATTTATAATTTTAGTCACATGATAGGTCTAAGATTTCATTTTGTAATCCAGACATTATAAAATGCATGATTGATATTGATTTTGATGTTGAATAAGGGCTGAGTTTATGAAGAGTTTCAGTTAAGAGACTAAATTACTAGAAATCATTTAATATTAAAATTGCTTTTTCAGTTCCTTAAGCTTCATCGGTTTCAATTGTTATTAGATTCCATTAGAGTGACTGACAGAATTTGAGTACTAAAATTATTTTACTTGTATCTAAGCTGTGTTATTAAAGATTTGCAAAGTTCATATAACTTTTCAATCCTGTCATTTATTCTCCTGGCCTGATTTTATTGACATTCCAGAGATTATGGTTCATGAATAAATTTCGGAAAAAATTACAGTGATTTATTTGAGCAACCTGTATTATAATCTACATGGTCCTTAAGGATTTAGCCCAAAAAGAGCAACTGTAAAATGTTGTGTGTGAATTTTTTCTTTTTGGCATTCAGTCCCATGGTCCAGTGTTTCTGTTGCTTTGCTCTAAGTCTATTGTATGTGTCAGTTTATCAATCACCCAGAAGGTATATCCTCCTCTCTCTACAGAAATGTGACAAATATATTTATTTTAATCTCTACTCCCCCATGTTTTCCACTCTTCCCCACTCCCACCCCCAATTTTCCTGGGCCAGGACTACCATAAGCAGTAAAACAGAGAACTTGATCAATCCAGGAAAATAAAAATGAAGATTTTCTGTTTTAATTTTTGTCTGGAGTTTTAGCTAAAGTGTTTCAGCTCAATTTATTCCAGCAATTTCCCATCTTAAAGGATCATCACTATGTGGTTGCCACATTAAATTACACGTGCATGCGTTGGTCAGCATCTATAATGCCTTATCTAATATCAAAAAAACCTCCAAAAACCCTGAAAATCATAAATTGTTTGGTAACAGAATCTGACAAGAACTTACATAGGGTTGTTTATATGGGTTTTATTTATCCCATTAAATAGGAATGTATCTCATTGAAGAATTTTTAAAAGAAAAATTTTTTTTATTGAAACGATTGTACTATATATCTCTTTGGGGTACCACATTTAATATGAGTACCTGGGGGGAGTATGTGATGCTCAAATCAGGATAATTAGTATATTTAACACAGACAATGTAATCATTTTTGTGGCCCTTTACTGATTTCCCACTAACCCTCCTCCGCCCTCCCCCTCCTCTTTCCTACATCACTGCAGAAACACTAATATTTTCTTCATTAGATAATGTACTATGTTACCTTTCTAAAGTTAAAAAAAAATCTGAAACATTCTGGTTCCAGGGGTTTCTATTAAGGGGATTATGTGTTATTAAAAAATTCATATATCTTTGAATAATGCAGCTACTATCTTGCTAATTCCATGGTCAATGCTAAGATTGGTTTTGTGATAGTTACTCTTTTTAAATACATCGTACATATCTCTACTGTTAAACTATCTTTTTCTTGTTAGGTTAAAATTGATTTAGACTCATTGAAGTTTAAAGAGGAATTTGCTATGATTTTTGCTTATTTTTACAGGGCTGGGGAGCAGAATATCACCGGCAGGATGTCACCAGCACCCCGTGTTGGATTGAGATTCATCTTCATGGGCCTCTTCAATGGCTGGATAAAGTTCTTACTCAGATGGGCTCCCCTCTGAACCCCATATCTTCTGTTTCATAGTGCAGAAGCATTCTTTTCAATTATATTATTAGTGGACTTGTTTTAATTTTAGAGAAACTTTCAGTACAGATACTGTGAGCTTACATGGAAAACACATACTACAGCCTTTTTTTTTTTTTTTTTTTTTACATAATTGTGACCAATATATTTGTATTTTGTGATGAATCTACATTTGTTTGTATTCATTTTCATGTGATTAATTCTCAAAAGTGTTGTAAAAGATGCACAGTAAGTATTATGCCCCAATTCAGAACATGCTCTTCAATTGGAACACGCTTTTGCTTTATTGTCCCAACAATTTTTTTATTTGCTATTGTTGAAAAGCAGTGCATCACATGATGAAAAATTTATAATACCGTAAAAGGATATATACAGTGAAAAGTATGTCTTCCTTCCTATTCTTGATCTTCCAGATGTTATACTTTTACCAGTTTCTTTGTCCCACTAACTTAAAAAATATATGTAATTCATTGTTTTTCAAAAGCATATGGTTGGGGCTTAAAAGAAACTATAAAAAAATTTCTTTTATTTGAAGGAACACTATGCATTGCTCTAACAAATATTGTTCAGTACGGTCAAAGCAAAGTGATAGTTTTCTAGATGACATCATAAAATTTGCATTCAATACAGCTAAAGTCAGTGTAATGTGACTTCATACTATATATCTTGTAAAACATTTCTTTTTTTTAAAAAAAACAGAATGATTGCAAATAACTGATCTCCAGTATATGTCATTTACTCAAAATCTGTCTTAAGTACTACTTTATAGCTAGTTAACAGTGCATGCACGGCCTTGTTCTGCTATGTTTGCTGCTTTTGGCCCATGTTGCAAGAACTCTAATTCTGACATGCATTAATCTTTTATTTTGCACTTTTATGGGTGACAGTTGTTAGTGTAACCTTTGGTAAAACACACTCAAGTGACTTAGACTTAGATGCTTGTTCTTACTTCCTTGGTACCCCATTTGTATTAACAAACACTGCAATTTATAGATTACAGTTGTAGAAAGTTATGCTTTTTCTAGCTTTTGTTTTATTTTCAACCTAGGATATGAGACTGTTATTCTGTAGCTCCAACTTAAGGTGCCTTTTTAATTCCCTACAGTTTTATAGATGTTATTAATATTGGAAAATCATGTACTTAATGCCATTGCTCTTACTTTCATAAGTCTCTTCATGCAAGGACCTATGCACTGTAGCCATAGGAAGCTCTTCAGTTTGTCCCCAAGGATGTGACTACTGGTCTGATATTTAAATCAATCAGTAGTGGATATTGGGATAGCTGATACAGTCACATATCAAAGAATGCAGACAGTTCTCTCACTTATCATTGATGCTCTGTCTTTTTACATTGTTTTAGTACTTACATGGATGCTAGACCTCAGAACACAATTTTTAGAGAAGAAGGACATGAAAACTCTAAAATATCCATTTAGCCAGTCATGCCTTTGGCTTTGAGTAAAGGACTCTTAACCACTTTTTCTAGGGAGCAGTGAAATGGACATTTAGTTATGGCAAGAGAATGAAGAAATTATTTGAGGGAAAAAAGACCCAATTTACCTATCAGAAGCTTTATTTTCTGGTGCCTTTTGAAAGTATATGGAGCCATGCAATTCTTCTGTTTAAAATGTTAGTTTGGTTTGACTTTCTACTTTGCCCTTTCTTCTTTTATGATTTTAAAAAATACATTTTTGAAGAAAAGATTATGCAATTCCTTTTGTTTTCTGTGTCATTATTTATTGCTTTTTTGAAGTGCAGCCAGTGGATGGTCTTAGTTCTTTCAGATGAAGTGCCATTTGTGTTTCAGCTCAGTCCTTTGCTGAGTAAAAGGAATACTCCCTGACACTCATCCAGAATTGTGTCAGCCATACGAAAGAGAATTCTGTTTAGTGATAGAACATATTTAGTGACAGGTAGATATTTTCATCATTATTTTACTTACCAGGCTCATGGCACGATCTTCAGGACAAATTTGTGGACAAAAATTATATTGAATGATGGATACATGTAATCATCTTCAATGAGCTGTAGTAAACTAGTGGAAACTATTGAATTGTTTTATCAGTGTTCTCAACTGAGTTAATTAAAAGTCATCTTATTTGGAGTCATCATGTCACAGCCTTTAGAGTTAGCAGGATTTTATATGATTGGCCTTTTTTTCCCCTTTAGTTGTGTTTCATGAATGACCATACTGAAGCTATTAACTGTTTCATGGAGAAGTATAAGCCAGCAATATTTCCTCAAAGTTGTCCACTTCACACCCCTGGATTTTAAGTGAAAATTGTATTCAGTCCATCTGCTCATATAATCCCTAAGGAAGCCCACATATCAATGAATAGGAAACAAAATTTGCTAGTAAGATAAAAACAAACAAAAAAACCTAAGTAAAATTCTAGCCAATGAAAAGAAAGCACCTCTGAAAGAAACCATTTCAGAACATTACAGCTTTTTTATTTGATCTGCAGAATGGTTTATAGTCAAATTTTGAAAACTTCCTCACCACCAGAATAGTTACATTTTATAGCATATATAACATGTTAATATATGCCAGCCAGAAAGACAGAATCTGGGAATAATAAAATTGCAGCCAGTTTGGTAAATGCAAAAAGCAGAATAGAATTAAAATTTCAGTAAAGGGGCCGGCCCCGTGGTGTACTCGGGAGAGTGCGGCACTGGGAGCACAGCGACGCTCCTGCCACGGGTTCGGATCCTGTATAGGACTGGCCGGTGCACTCACTGGCTGAGCGCGGTGTGGGCGACACCACACCAAGGGTTGTGATCCCCTTACCGGTCACGAAAAAGACAAAAAAAATAAAATAAAATTTCAGTAATGAATTCAACAAAAAGATGTCAATTAGAAAAAAGCAGGGTATAAGAAGTACATTTGAAAAAAGTCTCTACATGATAGAATATTGTGGTCTGGTTGGTATTACCTGGCTAAAGTTATGGAATATAAACTAGTAGGCATGTTATTGATCTACTGAAACACTTTAGAGAAAATTTAAGAAAGATATCAGTCAAAACTGTCAAGTATGTGTATCAGAATATAAATAATTTTTTACATTTTGTTACTATAAAAGAAAATGGTGGTAATGGAACTGGCTGGGTTTCTGAGGTGAAATCCAGAGTAAGATTACTGGACAGACAGTTCAGCAAGCCACAACTAATAGTACAGAAAAAGGATGTAGCTATTTCATACTTTTTAACATTTGAGAATAAGACATCCTTTTAGGATGAAAAATGATCAATAAATATTGAGATCTGAGTCTGTTGTACGATAAGAACTGGGGCTCATGTTATAAAACCTTCCATATTACCTGAGGGTACCTGTGAGAAACAGTTTCTTCCCCTATAGTGGTTCTGTTGGAAGAGAAAGTGTATACAAAAAATGAAATCCTACCAACAGCAGAGAAAGTCTAGAGAACTGATAGTACCTAGTAAAGTGCTATTTTTCTATTATAGACAACATCTAATATACCAATTTATATTCATTTCTTTATACTTTTGTAGTAATTTGTTTAATAGTATTTTGGATCATTACCCACCTTTTCCATTTGGAATACATTAATATCCTTTTTACTTCTCAAGGAACGAAGAATCTTTTGATAATTATTGAGTTCAACCTCCAATGATGACTTACATTTTAGACCTATTAACTTTTAAGAGGATCAGAATTCTCTTTTGTCTTATTAGTTAAATCCTCGCTTAATCTCTCCAGTATGAATATAAATGTGTCCTCCATCTACCCATCAGCTAGATAAGTATCTTTCAGTAGATAGCCTGGTGGTTTTAGAAGTATTTGGTGATTTTTATGGGAAGGAGTTTTCCTAAGTTGTGGTTTGTAAGTGGTCTCAGCTATTAACTAGGGAAGCTTTTTAGGGGGTAATCTCAGGTTTTATGCCTGTTTCACCCAGAGCAGCAGCATTTTCCTCATTGATATAGGTGAGATCCTTAGGAATTCTTATTGCAAAAGATGCATGTATTGAAAGTAAGAATTTAAGGCATTTCTTCTGCGTAAACGAATTCTACCTGCTGGACAGAAACTTGGACAATTCTTTGAAATTCGCTAAATTGCAGTTTAGTATGTCCTGATTACAGCAGGTAACTATCAAGCCTTTGCTATATTGGATTTTTCATAAGAAACTTATATCCTAAAATACAACTGTATTAATAATGCAAGTGACACCCTAAAATTGGATGGTTTATCAAAACCAACGAAAGGGATTTCACACATTGTTTTTGCTTTTTAGAGTTAAGAGCGCATGCTATATAGTACTTGCTGGTAGCAATTCCTATAACAAAAATGATGAGTTATTTCATTGAAAAACAGGATTTTTCAGTCATTTATGGCACAAAAATAGTTTGTGTAGTTCTTGTCCAAATAACTCACTTATTAAAAAGTCTTCAAATCACCATAAATCATTATCCTTTAAGGATTTATTTTAAGATGCTGTTTTAAAAAGTTCAGAAGGTTTTATACAGGTAGATTTTTCCTCCACTAATAGGTGGTACCTTCTTACTACTAGCTGATGTTAGCTATAACAAAACTCCAGTGAGGCCAGGGAATCCCACATTCTTTGTAAAAGAAGAAATCTTTTAGGATCAGATTTCCCCTTCTAATACCATTGAAGATGATGTTGCTTTGATTTATCCATGAAGTATTTTAACTGTAGGAACTCTTGAAGATAATGGTTGGGGTAAGTGATTTTCTTTTTAACTTGGTTGGTTAAAGTTGCATTTTGGAATTCACTTATTTTAAGATTGGATAGGGTTGTAATCATGAAAACTGAATGTTTGCATGTGCTTACCCATGTTCTCTTAAAAAGATATATCATATGCAGATTGTAAAGACCAAACCAATGGCTGCACTGTAGGTCTGCTTCTTGTTTTGTTCTGCTGCTTTTTATGTTGTAGAAAAGGAAATTCTAGCAACACTCTTTAATTCTGTTATCTTTTTGATACTTATAAAAATGTATTAGGATTTACTATATCGTGCTTTTCAAAGCCATAACTCTTAAAAACTTTGTTTTTGCATATTGTTTGCTAATACTTTATTTTAATAAATTTCAAAACCTGCCTAATGTGTCCTTTTTTTTTTTTTTTTTTTGTACTCTATTCGACTTAAGTTTTACTGAGTCGAGTTACAAAAAAGAGATGAGGTTATCAGTTACTGTGACCTGCTGAATTTTCTGTTTGTGTGCTGGTGATAGAAAATGAATATACCGTGACTTCCCGCACTCAGCATGAGGCTTGCTCAGAATGATGGATATATTTTTCTGTTATTTTTGTGAAGGAGATTATATGGGATTTTTTGTTTTTTGTTTTGTTTTGAAAAAAAGATTTGGGCTCAGGGTCTAGGGTTTATGAATTTAACCACTAATTTCCCTTCTCTAGAGCTCATTGTCTATAAATGAGGGGGCTTGAGAATAGGCAGGTAGCTTTTAGCAGAGCTAGCTCTAAAGTCTGCCTGCCTGCATTTGCGGCCTGGACCTCATAGCTCTGTGCTCTTTGGCAAGTTGTGCCTCAGTTTTCTGATCCATAAAGTAAAAATCTACTTCACAGGATTTGGGGAAGATGAAATGAAGTAGTGTAAGTAATGTACTTAGAACAGTGCTGGCACATAAGAACTCATATTTTAAAATTATTGTCTTTTATATTTTACTAGTTCTTTGATTTAAAGTAATTATTTCTGATGCTGCTTGACGTTGGTAGATCAACCCTTGATTAGCCACTTTGAAAGTTAGCTACATTTTTCTTTTGTTCTTTTTTTTTTTTCCTGAAAAAAAAAAAATCGAATCACGGGCTAGCTTTTTATCATCCCTACCACTTTTATGACTCTGTGTATTGAATATATACAAGAAATGCGGACTCATTCTAATTAGGGAGGGGTGGTGAAAATTCATGTGCTGTGGCTAGAAGAGTGGAAAACCTCAAACTAAATATTTTAATTCCAAAGAATAAATATAAAAGCTGTTATTTTTCTCTTTAAAGAAAAGACTTCCTCAAAAGAATCAAGTTTTGCAAATCATTTCCTTCTTAGGTCTTATTATTTCAAAGGCATTTCATAAGATATTTGTATCAATTTCACCGGCTGTTTTAGAAGCCTACTAAAAACAAAACCAAAAAAAGCCCCATACACTTATCCTGGCAATAGATTGCAGTGAGCACTGAGTGATGTTGGCTTCTCTTGGATAGTTTTCAAATTGCTATGGCAAAGCAGTGCAGATGATGAGGGAGTGAGACTCAATGGCTAATGATGTTCTATGTTACAGCAATTTTGATGTAGTTCTTATTTTATAAACGTATAAGAAGGCTGTCAGGCTGGGGCAATGCTTATAAGAAAGTGCTTATTTAGAGCTCTGCAGTATATATGATTGAAAGAAGGTAGCATTTTTAAAAAGCTCTCCCCCCACGTTTAACATTTTTTCTAGTACTGTGATTTTGGTTGTTGAATTTGTAAGTCCATCTTTAATAAACTTTTTGCAAAAAAAAAAAAATCTTGTGTTCTTTTGATCTAAATTATTTTTTTGTTGTATTTTAAAGAAAGAGGAGAGGATAGGGGCTATAGGGAAAATTTAAGAGCTTTCAGCAGCTTAACCACAATTTTAAAGTATGTTGGATGGAAGGTGGGAAGGGGGAGGGCACTTCAAAAAGTCTGTGGAAAAATAGAGTTGAAAGATAACACGAATCTTTCCGTGAACTTTTTGAAGTAACCTCATATTGTATCAAGTGGATGTGTGCATAATTCCTAGTGAGAGTTATTTCCTGAGACCATTTATTAATGTTTGGAGATGGATTTTGAAAATCTTCTTTTACTTTGTCTTAATCTCTTACCCCTTCCCCATTCAATAAATTTTGTCCATTATCTCATTTTAAATAATACTTTGAGATAAATGCTGAAAGTTTTAGCAGTACAGAATGTATACACTAAAACCCCAAACCAGTGGCTAACCACTAAATGTCTACGTGTGTGTCCTTCTCCCCTGTTCTGGTAGTCTTCCTACATAAGTCTTTAGCTTTCTTTGACAAATTTTTAGCTGATTATGGG